GCCCTACACGATCATCCTATTACTTTACAACTCCAATATACATCAAAAGCCCACGCATATTGTTACCCATAGATACTGATATACTCAATACAACTCACAACTCACCCACCCATTTCGTTTCACCATCAAACGGATTTATCTCTCGCTTCCTCGGTACCATGCCAAATTTATCCGGATCCTCAAGATGATCGGAATTCAGGATTGCGTCCCAATGTGGGGCAACTGGCATGTATGAAACCACTTCATCCCAACTGGCAAAGTCGCCTTGCTTGGTTCCATCATATCCAGAGACACGAGCAAGTAAAGCTCTCCGGAAGTCGTCTTTGGCTTTCTTGGCATCTACAGAAATTTCATAATACGGCCCCTTGTGCTTTTTAAGCTTCGCAAGGTAAGCATCCGCATCAGCGACTCCGTGTATGTTCTTGAACCACTCGTCAATGGTTATTCCCATTACGCTAGCTGCTGTATTGGCTGCCTCGAGGGTTTCCGTGTCTCTCTTGCTGTCGGATGCATCGTGAACCCAAGTGTTATGGTCCGTAGGGTCAAATCCAGGGATTGCTGTCTTTTTGATAAGGTCATCTAAACTGAGACCGTTGGATTGAGCCCAACTCAGCATTTGCAGCTGTTTCGCCATTTCATGTTTCTGTTCTGCCAGCTCCTTCTCTCCCTTTTTCGACGCTGCTTCGGCCTTCACAACATCACCAGGTTGAATCCCGTCTTTGACAGCTGCAGCGTGTTGTCTGTCCCTATTCACTTGTTTCTCTTTTGACTTGTACTTGTCGGCCAATTTCAAATAGACATTCAGATCCCTTGCATCCTTCTCTTCCTGTGCTTTGATCATTAATTGTCTCTCTTGTTCTCTTCGATCTGCATCTGTCATGGGTGTAAAGCCAAGTGCACCTCGTTTCCGTTTTTCTGCAATACGTTTTCGTTTCAATCTTTCAGATGCGTTTTGGTTATTCAAGGCTGATGTTTCCTGAACTTCTTCATCCAAACGATGTTCCTCCCTGTGTCTCACTATTGCTTCTAGTGCCCACCTGTTTTCGGGTAATGTCAAGATTCTTGAAGGAGCGAGACCCGCAATGGGGTCTTTGATGGGCGGAATCTGGATTTCGTTTACATCCTTCCTCTGTTCATTGAAGAACACTCTTAGACGCTCCAATTCCCGGACTCTTCGTAAGGCTTCCCTTGCTTGTGCCTCAGCTTCGGCGTTAGATGCTGGCTTCCACAGATCAAGTTTCGTTGGTTGTGAACCAGGTGCAGGTCCTTGGATTTCTTTGACTCCCTTGTTTATCTGATCAATCAGTTCCTGTATACCCATTTCGAGCTTCTCTCCTTCTTGCTTTTCAATTTCTGCTATTTTCTCCTTTTCTTTTTCTTCTAAGTTTTGTCGGAATCGTTTGGCATCGGGTGGGAAATAGCCATCGTTGTCAGCCTGTCGTTTCAAACTCTTGGCTTCATATGCAGCTTGCTCCTCTTCAATTTCATCAAGGGATCGTTCGTGGAATATTTCAGAGGATTGTGATTGTACGTTTTGGGCATTTTCTCTATGACTTGCCCACCATTGATCTCTCTGGTCGTCCGTGGGTCCATCTGAAATGTCTCCATAGCCGGGAGGGAGTCCTCCCCATGCCGTATCACTAGTTGGTTCAACCATTTCTGACCTAAGCCATGAATGAGCAAGAAAGGCCTCTTGGAAATGAAGCTGTGCGGCTACCCATTTAAGCTCAGCTTCTGGGCTCTCAAATGGCAAAGGTCCAGGCGCTCCCCAATCCTCATTCGCTTCAGATTGAGCACGGCAATCCAGAAAACCTCGGTTCGATATGAGTTTGACAGCGCGGGGATCCGGCATACTTGTGTTTCTTGCTGGTTTTGCGTTTTTCCATCTTACCCACTTGAGGTCTTGCTCTCCTTCACCCTCATCATCTTCCATGATCTTGCCCACAATTGCATTCTGCCAGTAGTATCCGGCGGCAACGCCAAAGTATTCATCTCTCAAAGTTTGTCTCAATGAGCTCCATTGTCGAGACCAATCTTTTGTATTAGCACCAGCCGGCTGTAAGTAAAATCGACCGCCAACACCATGCCAAAATGATACTCCGCCTCCCTCACTCTGTATGATAGCGAATTCTGGCAACGGGCCTGCAATTTCGCCTTTGCAAACTGCGATTCCATTGATTGTTAGAAGTCGTCCGTCCAGGTTAGCCACAAAGTATCTGTACTTCAAATCAGAATCTTTGTCAATTTCATCATTCCAAAGCCTGACATCTTTTGGGAGAAAAGATTGCGTTTCATCGCATTTTGGCGGGTAGGTTCGAGGTGGCATATCTCGATAATACTTTTGTTCAGGTGCAACCCACCAAGGATCATCAAACCTCATGGGTCTGTATTCCTTCTCTTTCATTTTGAAGGATGGCTCGATAATGTTGTCTTTGCCTCGGTCAACTGCCTTTGGACGCTCTTCGCCAGGATTGACCGGACTTGAAATTGCCTCGCATCGCCGAATATCCAGGGGAAATATATCCGGGTTCTGGTAGCTATCATTATTCTCGAAGGATTCTCTGTGATCACGATCTTCAATTTTATCTAGAGTTTGTCGATATATGTTTTTGGTAGGAATATTGAAGATGGTGCCTGTTACTTTGTCCCAATACTTTTTAATCTTCAAAAGTGATCCGTGGTCTTTGGGTCTGGGCATGTAAGGTACGTTAGGTTGGTCATCATCAGGCACTTTGACTTGGCTTTGTGCGTATCTGCAAAGGGGGCGGAGAAGCTATAAATGATTTCATTAGTGGGATGCTTTCCAAAGGAGAGAGTGTATCATACAGGATAAGGACTTCTTCCACAATCCACACCACCATCAATCTCAAACTGAGAATTCTTCAAGAAAGCATCCAGGTCCTCGTCCATATCAATTTTAACATGCTGTTCACCAACTTGCCTTGGTCGCCAAACACTGTTCTCAATGGGATCGTAGTATTCTTGAAAAGTCTCGTCGTCTTCATCTGGGACAGCGTACTCGATGAAATTTTTCATAGCGAAGAAACCACCGCTAGAGCCATCATCTTCGATTGGAAATGGCCTTGTGAGATCATTAGGATTGAAGTTTTCGTCATCCTCCTCATCACCATCGTCGGGCGCACGATCAATCGCCGTCGCGGGTGTGTTGCTCTCATCAGATTTTCCCGGCCGCGCTTTATCAATGTAATCCTGAGGATCAGGCTTTTGCATAACCGACGGATCTAAGTTTCCTGCGTACGCTTGCACAGTGACATTGTAATGTGCTTCCTGCCATGAGAGCTCAATGTATCCGACGCCCAGTTTCTTATTTTTCTCCAGGCGTTCTTTGAATTCCTCAACGACGGCAGGACTCGTCCGTTTCGTTGCGAATTCGATGTACTTTTCCTCCAGACTTTCAGTGGGTCGATACGTTTCATTCCAATTGGGTCGACTGGTTAATTTACATCGACGCACTTCGGGTAATTCTTCCCATTTGGCGAGAGCAATAGCGTACTCGATAGAACCCGGCTGAGCTTGAGGTTTCGGATCTTTCTTCCAGAATTCCGAGCCGAGAAGCTCCTCGACCCGTTCTTGCAAACTCAATGGGAGTTCATCGCGGACGTATTCCATCGTCAATGGTAGATACTCCGGCGCCCATTGCTTGTAATCTTTGAAATTCTCCCATTTAGGCGCCTCCCAATTGCGTCGCTGCCATTCGGCCAGCGCTTCACAAAACTCTATATATCCATCTCCCAAATTCCGATTTTGCCTAAACAGCGCCTTGAGATTCTCAATGGCGCGTTCTTTCCACTCTCTCCTTCCTTGCGCTATCTCAGAAATACTCGTTTCGAATTGTTCGAGCGCTTTCGCTTCCGTCCGATACGGTTTCCCTATCTTCACCTTTTTCCTCCTGTGCTGTCTTCTTCCTGCTGGCCCCTCAAAAGGAAGCTTCCCCTTCTTTTTCTGTTGCTTGATATAAGCTTCCCATTCTGCATAGGCGCGCGCAACCCACACTTCGTTCACGCGTCCTTCTATGTAATGATTATTCCAAATATCCCACGCGCGTTTCCAGGATTTCCACACCTCGTGTCCGTCCCCGGAATAATTGAGTGTGTATGGCGATTTGTACTTCCCCGAGCCGAGCAGAAAATCCCGCACATCTTTTACGACGGAGGGGTGAAGATTTTCGGCCAGGGGGGAGGGAATGCGTGTTGCGGGGATGGGAGAGATGAGGGGGATTTGGTGACGGTTTTCTCGCATGCGGTGCAGCACTGCGGGGGAGGAGAGGAAGGGGGTGAAATCATAAGTGGTGTATTTGTTTTGGGGGACGGTGAGGATGGGTTTGTTGCGCGGGTCGATGACGGCTTTTGGGTCTGGGGCGGGTTCGGGGGGTGGAGGGGTGGGAGTGCGCGAGAGGGGTTGAGTGGAGGTCATGTTGATTGATGGTGGATTGTGGAGAGGTGATGTGATGTGAGGTTATGTCAGGGACTGTATGATTATAGATACCTAGTCAAAGTACGAGATGAGAAGATGGAATCTGATGAGTACTCGATTGAGAGGAAGTTTAGCATGCGAGATAAGTATGAACAGCGTGAACTTCGAAACAAAACCCAGTTCATGCAGCATACACGATTTTTCACGGGATCAACAAGATTAGAGAAGGAGAAACAAGGTGAGGGTTGAGATGAAAGAAGCTTTGAAGGAAGTTTGACGCAAAGGAAAAATTTGAGACATTTTCTTTGCTGTGGTGCTCCATTCTTTGCCCATTGATGATAATTCCATATCCGTCAACAGAGAGGGTTAATTGTTTGATGCTTTAGCTATACTTGGACGGAAAGGGATTAGTGCTGGCTGTGAGGAATGTTGAAGTCGAGGGGGGGCTGCGAGTGGTGAAGTACCGTATTGGAGTAGATTGGAGTACAAAGGGGAGGTTCATGATCAAAGAAAATTTGAGGAGATGGAAATTGGGAATTATGAGAGATGTATATGGATGAATGTATGTGAATTTGTAGGGATTCTGATACTTTTTGGGTTTTTGTTTTTGGACGTTCTAGACGCAGTTCTGAAATTCAACCTCGACTGGCAGCAGGGTTGCACCAGAAAAATCAAGCTGGGTCACTGAACCTGCAATTCGAGTAAAAGTAAGTAAGGACTACCTAGGTATTCACTCATTGACAGATACCCGATAAAAACGGAAAAGTAAAACACTTTTTGAATTATTCCAATCGCTGTCCGTGAAATATGTAGCAAGTGAGGGGTATCTGAACACATAAGAATTACACTAAATTTTGATTTCGCTCCGTCCTGCAATTGTCATAAGCCTACACCATTTTCGGAATATCGGTCCATTACATGGAAGACTAACTGGTTGTCCACATTACAATCCATACCGGGCACGCAGCCCAATTCTGCGCGAACTACGGCGGGGTCGCCGCCGGCCATGGTCGTTATCATATCGGTTGCAAATACGCAACTATTCAGGTTGGTTCCGTTATTCTCGGAAGGTATGTTCGTGTTGTATGTTGATGATATTGGAGGTGACATTTGATGAGATGAGACTGATGAACGAGAATTGGGATTCGAGTTTGTGTGGGATTGTAGATGGGAATGCATTTGAGGGGTCTGTGGGGAAAGTGTATTGTAGGATTGGTTTGATATATATTGCGACTCGTATTCGTAGATGGGCGGAGATTGAATGGAGAGGCTCGATGGTGTGTTCTGCTGTTGTGAGTTGGGTAATGTTATTGGTGTCATATTGAATCTTTGTTGCTGTTGCTGTTGCTGTCGAGTGTGGACAGTTCCAGCCGTGCTATGGTTTTGGCTGATACTGCTATGTCGACTTGCCGCGCTGCTTCTTCTTGGACTCATAAATTGTTGCGCCTGTGAAAATCCTTTGCCGGTCGGTGTTGGTGTCTGTCCTACGCTCATGCTCCGTGAGGGTTGCACTGGATCCCATACCGAATGGACAGTATTTCCACTGTAAGAACTCTCCCGACTTTGAATCGTCTGCCCCATCGTTGTTGTGCTCGTTGGACCTATACTCCCATCCGCACAACATAGTTTTCTCGCCTGAAGTAGTTGTTCTAACTGTTGTACCGAAGGACTTTCACTCCCATATTGCGCCGAAATCATTAAATCTTCCGAACTCATTTGTAAATACGTTTCCACCATTTCATTTCCTACCCCATGTTGTGCTAGCAGACTTCGTAATTTCTTATTCTCATCTGCTACTCTTCTTGCTGCCAGCTGGATTTCAGAAGATGCTTCAATACCTTGGAGCTCACATTGGCGCAATCGTGCCTCGAGCTCTTGAAGGTACTCTTTTCTTCGAGCGCGGGATCGTCTTTGGTTGTCTCGTATGCGCGCAAGGTTTGCCTTTTCCTAAAACATGTAATTAGACTTTAGATCGATCAATGTACAAATCGTTGATGATATGGTGAGAGCTTGTCTAGAAAGGGCGTGTGGTGCATGTGCATATGTCAAATGTCAAATGTCAATTGAGCTTGATAATATCTTGGCATTTGATCTCTCTTCGCAATCTCCAATTAGAGAAAGACGACTTCCAAAGGATGAAGCATTGTTTACTCACCGCAGCCGTCGACATGATGGATTATAGAATGATCAAAGTCTTGGGGATTTTTACTCATTCCAAGTAATGCGCAATTGAATTGATTGAAATGATTGTGAACTATCAATAGCCGCATCCCCTGTTTAGCGCGGCTTGGATTTGAATGTTCCCAATTTTTCACACGCGTAAACTCTCCTTGGGCATGGATCCGAAACGGCGAGAATAAAGTTGGAAGTAGATGGAGGATCGAGATTGGCTCGGCAGTTGCGATTATATATAGCTATGCAGTAGTATATGGAGTATTGGATGCAATATCTGACCCCTATGTTCCTCGACCTTGTTGTTTAGTATCGCCTTTGTAGCGTTAACATCTTTTCTCTAGCCCGTCGCTATCGTCCGCCTAAAAGCGTGGCTGTGCTGTGCGTGCCGTGCTAGACGTGGTTGTTGGGAAGAGACTGGTCAGTGCCGGCAGAGAGTTTGTTTTAAATAAGAAGCTTCACTCCGTCTCCATGGTAGAGGGTAGAAGGTAGAAGGTAGAAGGGATCTGGCATCTGGCACCTGGCATCTGGCATGTACGAGGAATGGCATTGGTGGCATTGGTATTACTTCATGAAACCCCTTCCAAAGAAGAACACCTAGCTCCCTTGTACGAAGGACACATTAATGAATTTGTGTTCATTGGCCAATCATGGAGATGGCTGTGTAGAACCAGATTCTGGAAAAGGACAAGTCCGCGGTCCCTGGGTCAGCAAAGCAATGTGAACAAGGTGAACAAGGTAGTGGTGGAGTGGAATTCAAGCATAAAAGAAGCATCAATCATAATAAAACCAAAGAAGCCTCGAACGGTCTCCGGGATTTATCCATCAGAACCTTATTTTTCAATCAATCGGGCGGTGTCAATTTACCCGGTCGGCATCTTCGTACAACAATTACCGAATTGAGCGAAGAGGTTGAAGACGAAGATATACTTAGTACTCACCTGCCTACCTGGGTAAATACTGTCAATAGTCTCTCCTAAACCTTCGCTTCACAGAACCAGAAGTTCATCCCACTTCTCTCTCATACAAGCATTTGCTGCTAATATATTGATCTCCCCAGCCCGGCAGAATGGCCTAGGTCGTGCATTGAAATAACATAACTGCAAACTCAAGTCTGGTTGAACAAACTTCGGGAGTTCTGATACCGGTAACCTTGACCTCCTTGACCTTTTGGTCCCGATGTCAAACTAGAAATCAGATGATGGATTTCTCTTCGACGTTTCTGCTTTTCTATTTTGGCTTTGAAGGCTTGGGGTTAAACTTCTTACAGCTGTTCGGGATTCTCTAGTCCTTTCAATGTGTGGCCCGGATCAGCGGAATCGATCCCATTTGCTCGACATGTGCCGCACTCATTCTTACCCGTCAAAAATCGTCCGAAACATTTGAATCACCGTGTAACATGTAAATCGACATCGACGATCATGTCACTTGTTACAATCTGGGGTTCAAGATCTCCAAGTGGAGATATCACAGAACTTAAAGTGATAGGATCTGTTGGTTTGGCGACCTTCGGGTCAATGCAATATATTGTTACCATCTATCCGTGTCACACATTTGGCTCGTTGGGGTCTGTAGGAAAGAAAAGAAAGACTCTGTACTTCAATAGTATCCCGTCTTATTTTTTCGTGATCTATTGCAATTCTCCCTCTACCTCCAAGATATCAATGTTTGTTTGGCAAGGGGCAACTTTTTCACTAGTGAATCTGTGAGTACAGATTCAAATTGCTATATCGAACATTTCTCCAATTGTATGCATAGTGAGCCCGCCAATATTCTTTTCTTGGACGCAAATTTTTGTTCGCAAACGAAGAAACTGTCACAAGATTAGTCGTCTATCTACTCTTCGATCCGGAAATTACTAAGAACGTATGTTGAGTATACACCCAAAGTCTGGCAAAAGTTTGACTGGATTCAGACACAGCTTTTGATTGTCAGTGACTATATTATTGTTCTGTCTGAAAATAAAGTAGTGCAGAGTTATATTACAAGATCGAATTGTGGTTTTATTTCTTAAGAATATCCTCAGACGTGTCGGTTGTGCGAAGAAAATATGGTTGTAATTCGAACACATGGGTAGAACACATACAGTGCTCCCACTTCTATCAACCACAAACACCGATCCCGTTTATCGAAAATATGAACAACGCCTGCTGGTATGTATTATGGGGTATTTATTGGCTCTCAATAAAATCAAGAAATAACATGAATCCACACACCAAGACGATTTTCTGAGGTCAGTTGAGGAAAATGAAATTCTCAACTATATGGTACACAAGTAGGTAGAGTGTCTACTACTCAAATATAAGTCATTCTTAATAAGATCATGAAATATATTCTCATTCTCGCTTGCTGCGATCCAGTCTATCCATCGTCGATTCTCAATCTTATCACCAGCGTCAGAGTCTCAAAATAAGGAACTTTCGCCTTTCATCCTCAGCATCGTTGTCTTTCTTTATACAGTTACGAGGCTTTGAGATCGTCGGAGTCGACTCAGTATGTCATAAATGTGAGTTGAAACGAGGTGCTCCTGAACTGCCAAGTGGTCAGTCGGTGTCCTTTATACCGTCCTATCTTATTGAAATCGATGACCAAATGGCACGTATAGATTATTGGCCTAGAAATCGCGTCGTGCGTGCAGAGAGTCAGTAAATGGCAACGAGTCGATACATGTTCGACATCGGTATGATGGTTGTTCGTAAGATCTTACTACTATCATAACAAACGCCGTTACATGCTAGCTTGGGGTTTATGGCACCCCAGAAGCTAGCTCACAGCAGAGTTATCGAAAAGAGCTGATTGAAATTTTTCGCACGTTAATTGTGATTCTGGTTACCTTCTAGCCACGTATGATTTGAAAAATGGATAATTATTTACTGCTCAGATAGCAACGAAAGTTGCGACACAAAAATTACAGGTAGAGTTGGACTCGTATCTTCTTAGCGCTCATCAATAAATACCCTGTGTCTCGAGGTAGGTAACAAGAATTTGAATTCTGTGCATCATCTATTATTTGTACGAGACAAGTCAATCCCATTTGGTCGTCTTTGTGGCTTGATGTTCACTAGTTTTGGTTCAATCGCGATATTTCGAGTATCAGAATGCGCGGTTTGATACTTTGTTCAAGCTGAATGAAGGCTTGGGAACAAAGTGATATGAGAGTGTTTTGAAAAGAAAAGAGGAGTCTGTGTTTTTGGATTGTTATTCTGCAGATGGTTTATGTATAGCTAGGATGCGAGATCTTGTCGATAAGTTGTAGATAAAGGCTCGTTTGCTATCAGGAGTTTACTCCAATCTTGAATATTCAACTATTATACCACTTCCTGCCATGTTGTAGGACACTAACTGGAATCCCATAGACTATAGAGTGAATAGCACGAGAATAATATCATTTCAATCTATAGATCAGTCATTGAACAATGAAGAGGGGTAATTTGTGTATCTATATTCTCGCCACATCTTACTTATGATTGTCAATTATCTTCTTTCCGCTCATACGAGAGATAGGATCCGAACTCCATTAACGACAACTCAACAAGTTACACACACCGACAAAATCCTCCATCATCCGATATTACACCTGAGAGTATTAAGTGATAAGCATAACTCGCAGGTTGTCGAGAGAATTCACGGCTTTCACATCATGTCATCCTGAGATCAATAGAGCTTTGGACTCTCGACTCCTCTGCGCAACTCAGTAATCTTCCTTTCAAGCGCAGTGCATTACGATATCTGAGGTTTGAATACCTAGATAGGTATGTTTAAATACTCTGGAGTTGGTTGGTGATTAATGTACCAGTCGGCTATCAATGAATGAATGACTCAGTCGTCTGATCTCCACAAAAGTAATAGAAAATCAGGAATAAACAATTAGGAGCCTTACTTTTCATCTCTCTTAGTATTTAAACGCGTTTGTATATCAAGATTATGGAAATAGATGCAAGGATTTCTAGAGCGTGGATGTTTTAGTACTTTTACCCGTGTAAAAATGTTCCTTCGATGTGAGTCTGTTTGTGGTGAGGAGAAATATGGATGGGAGATCACCGGAATGGAATAGAATGGAATGGAATGGATGTTGTGAGTGATTTGCTTGAGTGTATAGTTTTTTGTTTCTCGATGCGAGGGAAGAGGTGTGTTTTCTTTTTCCTTTCTTTCCATAAACGTGGAGTCTGAGTTGTTCATCGAATGTTGTTGCTAGATTTTACATTTTCGCTTGTCTGTTTGGGTTTTCGTTGTCGGATACTTGATTCGTGTTATTGTTGCTTGTTGTGTTGAATAACAAGTCAGGTTAGCACAGTATATGTATTTGCGCCAGCATCATTTCTATTATCATCATTATTATCCTCGAGGATAACTTATCACGTCGTTGATACACAACTTTAGCAACAACCACAGCAGCAGCAACTCAGTCAAGTTTGAGATAGTTGGGAGGGGCGCAAATAGTTTCCCTGTTTTTTTAGCACTGAGCTGCGCACATGCAAGAGTAAAACATCTCATGAACAAAGCTCTTGCTCCTATCCTCTGCTCATTGACTTCTTGAGAGTTTTATGTGATGAACTAGTTTAAGGTCCAGCGGAGCTTTTATACGTGGGAAAATGGAATGTTGTTGGAGGAGTGAGATGGATGACTCCAAGGGGGTTAGTAGCTAAGCTTTAATGTCCGAACTCGAATCAGACGGATGAGATTCATGGTACGTGGTGCCAGGAGTCCTTGTGTTGAGATATGAGTTTAGGTATATAAAGCCCCCGAGATACACATTACTCTGTACGACAGTAGGAATGAAGAACAAACGCTCAAAAATCTTAGGTATTCCTGGCCCTCAAACACATTCTGCATATTTCACAATTCCAAGAACTGTGTATCTGCAAGTGTAATTTACCAGGCACACAGGTAGGTAAGAGCTCTGATAGATAAAGTGCCGGCGGTCAATCCAGTTTATCGACAACAAATTCGTCGTTTCTGGTCAGGAGTCAGCTTTATGGCTCGCTTGAGGTTTCACTTGCTCGAAGGGTGTGATGATCAGAATAGTATCTGTTTCCCATCTCCTGGTTTCTCCTTATCCCTCTGATCATAATTTTCCTATCTCGTAATTGGCCAGCGATATTTTTGGCCCGTTTTAACCATCATCAAGATTCTATTCAACACCCTTTCATGTACTTTTATTGTCATAAGTGTTGCCATTGCCAATAATACGAATCACAAATCACACTTGGAAGTTCCTTTTATCTCATACCTCGCCCTTAACAATAGAGAGAACTTGAGTTCAAGAAACGCATACCAGCTTTGCAAAAAGTAGATCAATTCCAGTTTTTGAAAGCCTTATTTTTTGTACGATGAGGTGCTAAGAATTTGTTGGTAAGAAGATATAATTTCCATTTCATGACTATTTATACTAAAGCAGTGGAGCCCAACATAATATGAGCCCTCAAGACGGAGCTAGAAGGAAATTTCACATGCGAGGAAAGTTTAACTGTACGACTATAATCCTCACTCCGCAATTCGTGGGTCTGTATCTGAGTCTATTGCGAAAAAGTATCATATGAGTATAAAATTCCCTTCTCCTCTTCTTTTTACTTCCCCTGAGCAAGATTAAGGAATGGACAATTCAAACTCATAGGAATCTTCCGAAAGTACCTACAGCGATATTTTCCGAGAAGTAAATCGATGCGGAATCATAGCTGTAAGGTTATTGTGATATTTTGATATCGATTCCCATGACAAACTAACAAATGACAATGAATGTATGGGATATCTAGAAATCACCATACTCGCAGAACTCATTACTTGCATTCTTCCTCAAACAA